CTGCTGTGGAGCGCTCTCAGCTTTGGAAGAAAGGTGAAAATAAGCCAAGACAGTGACTGTAATAAAAGCAAGGTACACGCTGCTGGGTGTCCTGAACTGTACCGGTAACACCGCACAGTGAGATTGTGTGTTTGACTTGAGCAAATCAAGGGCTCATTAAAATTAGTGTTCAAGTAATGCTTACCACCTGGCATCTTCTCAAGTAGTGGCATATGTTTATACGTCTTTGAGAGATGGGGAGGTGTTCTCTCTGAGTAGCGAGTGGATGTGAGGCACTGTTATCTCTTGTCTGCTCCTGGAAAACCTGGATGGTAGGGCTCAGACGTGAACCCCTACTATTTCTTGGCGTCCTGGTCTGGTTTTGTCTGCTATAGGGTTTCCTTTTGTTTTTGTCTTTCAGCTCTGTTTCTATACTGAGCAGGTATTGAGTCATTGTTACAGAAATGGAAACCTCTAAGTGCCTGCATAGGGAAGTCTGACTGGGCTGCCACCTCAGTCCAGTCTTTGCCATTGTTAAACTTGTACTTCCTAAGGATATTTTCATTAGCAAAGGTTTATATATATATATATATATGTACACACACACACATATATACATATATACACATATGTATATATACATATATATACACACACATATATGTGTGTGTACATACTGTCCTTACAAAAGCCTCATTCATTATTTCAACCATATTGTCAATTAGTTTATAGTAATAAAACCTGAATAACAATCCAAAACTGTTGCAGAAGTGTATCATGTTTTTACCTGTTAAATGTGAAGTTTTGGCAAATATTTGAGAGACTTTAAAGATGTCTTTCTAAGATCCTGGTGCTCTAATTATTCAGACAGTCCAGTATTACTGTGGATATGTAATTATAGTTACTAATCAGCTGTTACTAATCAACTGTCTTTAAGAGATGGAGCTAAAGAGATGGAGAGTGTCCATTATCCAGATAAATGCCATAATCACAGGAGGTCCAAGGGCAGGAGATGAAGTCAGGAAGTTTTGCAGTGTGAGTAGGACTACTCCTCCGTAGCTGCCTTTGCAGATAGAAGAAGGTGGTGTGACTGATGAAGGTGAATTACCCGAGGCCGATGCCAGGAAGAACTCTGGACCCTCAGCCCTTGGGCTGCATGGGACTGAACCTTCTAGTGACCTGAATCAGCATAGGGTAGCAATCCTGCCAACTCTTGGAATTCAGCCTTCTGAGATTCTAAGCTGAGAACCAATTGGCCTAACTGCTGACTTCTTACACATGGAAACTGTGATCATCAATGGGCATTGTTTTAAGCCACTAGATTTGTGGTCATTTGTTATAGCACTTATAGAAAATGAATTCAGTTATGTTATTGAGGAGATTTTTTCTCTGTATCTGAGTAATGTGATAAAATTACTTTTTTTTTTTTTTTTTTGGTCTTTTGTGTCGTAGAATCTAGTTTGTTCTAGTATTTTAAGGTAGCATATTCCAGTATAAAGTTAAGAGTTTAGGCACAACCTCTCTGTGGAGTGAGTTTTAGGTAGATTTGGATAGATGTTCAGGCACACTTTATTATATTTAGAAATAGTCATAGAATTACAGAAATTTAAAAATGGTAGGACTTTGGATATGATTTTGTTCAGGTTCCCTACTTTTATAGATTTTACAGGAAAAGTGAATAACAGGCAGAATTATTGCTTAAGTCCATACAGCCGGAAAAAAGAGCCAGTAAAAGAGCCTACCTGTTTTAAACTGCTTTTTCTCAATCTTTTATCTTCACACACAATCCGGTCTTTCCTAGGAGTGCCAGAGATAGACCTAGATATGTGTGTCCTGGAGCTGCTGGAACAAAGTACCACAAACTGGTACTTTACAGGAACAAAAATTTATTCTTTCACAGATCTGGAGGCTAGAAGTCCAAAATCCAGGTGTTGGCAAGATTGTATTCCCTCAGAACGCATGGAGGAGAGGGGCAATGAAAATCTTTTGATGTCTCTTCTAGCTTCTGGTAATTGCTACCATCCTTGGTGTTCCTTGGCTTGTAACTCCTTTCTCTGCCTTTATCTTCATGTAACTGACTTCCCTCTGTGTATGTTGGTGTCCACATTTCTCTCTTATAAGGACACTAATCATTGGTTTAAGGCCTACCTTGTTGGTATGACATCATTTTAACTTGGTTATATCTGCACAGATCTCATTCATGGATTCTGGTGGACTTGAATGGAGGTGGAAGAGGCGCTATTTAAATTATTGTAGCGTCTAATAGGGATTCCAGAGCTTATGTACCTAAACTGAGCTCCTGCTTTTTCCCTTTTGCCACTTCCTCACCTTCTGCATCTGAGCTGATGGCATGAGGTAGAATACTGCTCATTCCTCTTTCTTACAGTTGTTTTGGCTAGAAGATGGGATGTCCTTGATGCCTTGCTTGAATACCCAATGGTTTCCTTGAAACACAGTTCTTGTGTTCTTTGTGCAGCAGAGGGAGAGGTCCTGACACTTTGCTCAGGACGGTTCATCACAGTAGAAATCAGAACCCTTGTGATGGCCTATAACACTGTGTGTGTGCTTCCTCAACCTCCACTCCTGCCCTCACTACCTCTCCCCCACCCCACTGGCTTCTTGGTCACTCAGCCCTCTGAGCACTCTCCTTGGTCCTGGCACTTCTCTTCCTGAAAAGCTTCTTCAGGAAGAAGCCTTTCCTGAACCACCAGGCTCCTCTTTCCTGCTTGTTACCATCATCTTTCTCTGAAATCCCCTTTCTAGTTTTATTTATTTATTTTTAATAAATTCACCAGAGGACCTGCACACTCATTACAGAGAGAGAGGAAAAGTGAGAAAGCACCATTCATGGGGAAAGGTTATACCACAATCCTTTCTCTTCTGTGTCTTTCTCTTGGAATTTTGGGCACACATTTGACACATACTTGCATGTTTCTCAAGCTGCCAGGTTTGGAATTCCAACTGCACTGTCAGCCATGTGGGATCTATCTACCTTAGCCACCATGCCCTTTTTAGTTTTCTTAAACATCTGTATTGTGAGATGTATATGTAAAAGTATATAAAAGGCATATATTCAGATTAAACAAAATGAACATTTGTCTGTTACACCAGCTTCAGAAGCAGACCCTTGGTACTGATATGCTTTCTCTTACTATGGATTTTTAAAATTTTTTTTTTCTTTTTGAAGAGGTTTTTGCTATAGGGCGCGTGTGCTCACCAGACAGACAGAGAGAGACATAGAAACAGAAAGCGAGAAATCACCCCCCAGGGAGGATGGTCACGCCGCAATCCCTTCTCCTCCATTCTCCTCTCAGGATCTTGGGCACGCATGCACACGCGCCCGGCGTGAGTTTAAGCCACCAGGTCCGGGACTCGAACCGCGGTCAACTATGTGGGAGTCCAGCGACATAGCCATTACACTAACTGCTGGTCCCTATGGATTGTTTTTATTGTCTCTTACCAGACTTCTTTCAGCAGAATTGTGCAGAGATTAACCTGTGTTGCATATATCAGTAGTTTTTTTTTTTTTTTGCAGAGTAATATTTCAATGTATGCATAGACTGCAGTTTGTTTATGCATATAGTTGATGACCTTTTGGATTGTTTCCAGTTCTTGACTATTTCAGATAAATTTGCTATGAACATGTGTATATACATGTATCGCCTTGGATATGTGCTTTTATTTATCTTGTATAAGTACCTGGGTCACATGCAGTGTATGTTTTATGAAGTTTTAAAGAAACTGCCAAATGGTTTTCCCAAGTGGTTGTATTATTTTATATTCTTAAAAAAGCATATTAGAGGGACCGGCAGGTGGCATGGTGGTTAAGGGTGCTGGACTCCCACACGGCTGATCGTGGTTCAAGTCCTGGACCTGGCGGCTTGCTTTCTCACTTTCCCTCTCTTCTCTCTCTCTTGCTCTATCCCTCTCTGTTCAAATTCAAATTAAATAAATAAATAAAGTTAAATAAACTAATTCAAAAAAAACTGGAAAGAAAAGAAAAGAAAATTTAAAAAAAAAAAAAAAAAAAAGCATATTAGAGCTTCCTTTTGGCCGGAACCTCCATCTTCCAGCAATTAACCAAAATGACGAACACAGAGGGAAAAAGGAGAGACACCCAAAATATGTTCTCTAGGCCTTTTAGAAAAAGTGGAGTTGCTCCTTTGGCAACATATATGCGAATCTACAAGAAAGGTGATATTGTAGACATTAAGGGAATGGGTACTGTTCA